CTCAAATCCAGCTGTTTTAGATTAACGGGAGGTACTGTAACAGAAACTCCTTTTAATTAATAAAGAAAACCTTTGTGCATTCCAACATACAGCATGATTTTCCTTCTCTCCACTAAGAAAAGATCCCTCCCTTTCGGAGTTGAATATCTGGGGGATGAACTGAGATGGCTAGAGGCCACTGGTTTGGATTTGAAAGCAGAAGAATCAATACTGAAGTCTTCGTTCTGAAAACTGTAGAGTCTGAGCGGCCAGGGAATGTGAGGGTTCTGCAGCAACAAACAAAAAAATATCCACAGGCATGTGAGGAAGTCTCAGATGTCACAGACACATGGTTTCAGCTTGTATCCAGGGAAATTTAAACTGGGAGAGCTGCTATAAAGCATCTGCGGTTCTCATTAAAGCCCACTTCTCAATCTTTCACCTACAATAATGGTCGTAATAATGTGTAATATACTTTTAAACTGATGTAATGGTTTGGGTAAAAGAAAACTGAGGCAATCTGAACACAGACAAAACATTTTTATGCATTCCTAGAGCAAACGCAGCCAGATTTGAGAAAAATGGGCAGCTTTGATCAGATTTTTTTAGCTTGAACCCATTTCATAGTGGGCCAGAGAGTCACACAAACAAACAATCTTCGCCCACGTATCCTCACTGATCTTTCATCGGGCCTGTTTTCTCACCAGCGAGGATTGAAGTCCATGGTGATCAGTAATTCCTCCAAGCGTGCTTGTCTAAGGATCAGTATATCTTCGTCCTTCATCCTCTCTCCCCCTCGGTTCATTCCAGGCTGGTTGCAGTGAGGCTAAGAAATTGCTAATGAACTCCAGGCTGTTTCCACTTCTTTTATCCTTTATTGTTTCTGGGTCCACAACATGCCTCTGACCACCTTTGTTATATTTCATTTTGGGACATAAAAATCAATAGACAGCTACTTTTATATGTGAAACGTACCATTTAGCAAAGCTTATATCTTATGTTACCTTTACATAATTTATAATCAGATATTTCATTATGGGTTTTGGTTTGCTATGCGTAGGAGTTCTGGTTGTTTTTTGAAGTGTTCTGAATGGTTTTTGGTGCATTGCTATGCTGTTGCAAAGTTGTTATGAATAGTTTTTAGTGTGTTGCTATGTGGATGCTATGACATTACATGTTCAAGTACAAATTAAAATTCTGTCATTAATTATTCACCCTCATGTCATTCAAAACCTGGGAGACTTTCATTTATCTTTGGAACACAAATGAAGATCTTTTTGATGAAATCTGCGAGCTTTCTGTCCCTCTATTGACAGCTACACAACTACCACTTTCAAGCGGTAGTAAAGACATAATTAAAAAAATTCACGTGCTTTGTTTGCCCAAAAAAAACATTGGTCTAATTTACCACTTTATTTACAAAATATTAATCTCCAACGCACGTTCACAAGAGCACCACGACGCATGCGTGTTGTATAGCTTGTTTTCATATGACGTCACGCCACTGCGTTGCCATGGCGCGAAATGCAAATGGAGGGCAGGAAGTGATTTGCTGTATTTAGAAAGCACTATAACAAACTCAAAATGCCTATGTTTTGCATCGTTTATGGTTACTTAAATCGATCAAACCACGAGGAGTTTTTATCGTGTACCAAAAGTTGTTGTTCATAAGGGGGGAAAATTAAAGAAATTGACTGAAAAACTCCGTGAAAACGGCTTGCAAACTTACGTCTGCGGTCGGGAGGAGCCGGATGGGAAAATGCCCGTGTGTGCAGTGATCACTTCGTCAAAGGTGAGTTAATACAACTTAAGTGGCTATGTTTGTGTAACGTGTAACGTTTCCGAACTTTGTAAAGTCAAAGTATGTCTGTAAGACAATGTAGTTGCTGATATCTACCGCCTCGATGTCAGGAAAATCTTTCAATTCAGTTGAAAAATCGCTCCTCTTCATAACGCAAGGATCACGTCCAACATATGTTTGATTTTTTGTTTATATCTTTCTCTTGTAATAGCGTGTAAAGTAGTACAGTACGGACTTTCCTCCATCTCGTCCATTGCGCTCTTCACTCCCTGCCCTCCATCTGAATTTCGCGCGTCATCATAATCACGTGACTGAAACCCAGCTATTGACGCAAAAGCAGATGCTGTTGCGTGAACGCGCGTTGGAGATTAAAGTCCCCGTGAACCGGAAGTTGCAAACGACTTTTCTCCAGTGTTGTGACGTATTTCCGAGAGAAACGGAATACTAAATGAGGCAAAATAGCAGGCGTGGCTTTTTTTTCCAACTAGCACCTGATTGGATCTAGAAAAGTAGGTGTTGTCATTCAGCCTAGGGGCGTGGTTACGAATGTTAAGCAGACACCCAAACCGGCAAACCTACGTCATCAGGGAAGGTCCTCCAACGCAGAGGGGAGGGGAAATTTCAGATTTTGATTAAAGATTACGAAGCCAAAAAATGTTTTTGTGTGGATTGACTTGCATGGATGAACTGTTCACCACAAAACGATCAATTTAGGCAAACAAAGTAAGTATGGTCAATTTTAAATTCATGGGGACTTTAAAGTAACACCAGGTAACTTTTCAACCTTCATAATATATTTCCAAGTCTCTTGTGATGGTACATCAACTTACAATAGGTTGAATGACACGTCTGCCATAGCCTGACGGGGTCTGTAGCGTTTTCAATCGTACTTTTAAACTTCGGGTTTCGGGTAGTAACCGGCGAACAAAGAGAACTACAAAATTCAACTGCTTTACGGCATATACGTCACTTCCACCACCACCCCCACTTCCTTAAAATCGGACGTGCGAGCCAAATGTTATAGTCATGGCCGAAGCAGCACAGAAAAACAAGAAAGCAAAGGTTTTATTGGAGCAAAGCAAATAGAGAAAAAGAGAAAGTGATCGCGTTAAAGGCAGAACGAGGATCAATATTGGGCCAGCATTTTCTCGCTGGCGTGAGCTGAAGGAGGAGGAGGGGTGCCCGACCGATGCGGACTTGGCAAAAAAAAAAAAAAAATCAAATGAAAGCCTATGTCTAAACGGCGTGTACAAGTTTGGTAGGGGCTACATTCTTGCAAAAAAATAAGAAAAAAATAAAACCCATGAAATTATATTCATATGACATGCTGAAATATATGCCACTATACCTGGGATGAAGACATTTCAGACAAGACGCAAGCAGAACACCTGCATGTGACCTCCTCCTACAGTGTTCAGGGCTATCATGGTTGTCAACAATTGCACGTGCATGTAGGATGACAGAGGTCTAGAGGACAATACTGTTTCCCAACTGTAGGGGGACCCCACCCCGAAAGCAAAAGTAACCTGGTGTTACTTTAATATTTTTTTAAACATGGATTACTTTAATGATGACTTTACCACCTTTCTAGGGCTTGAAAATGGTAGTTGCGTAGGCTGTCAATGGAGAGACAAGCTCTCAGATTTCATTAAAAAGATCTTGATTTGTGTTCCGAACATGAACGCATGTTATGGGTGAGGGTGAGTAATTAATGGAAGAATTTTCATTTTTAGGTGAACCCTTAAAGACTTCGTATTCGGGGTTTGTTCGAGCAATAATAATAGCGATGCTTGCCTTTACAAACAGCACTAACTCATGACAAACTCTAAAGCTTTGGCACAGTGATGACTGCACATAGTTTTGGGCCCGGGCTCGTCAATAGCAGCGTGACTCAGTATACAAAAGCTGCGGCACCGGTTAAGTTCACGTCTGCCTTTAAAGGCTTTCTGTGGTTGCTGGGGTAACAGTCTTTTTCGGACCTTCTCTATAATTGAGTCTTGTGTTTTTGTCCCGGATTCCACAGCCAGCACAAAGCACTGATTATGCCGGAGTAACTTAGTCGGGAGGGGCAGGGGGCAGCACTTGAGTGAATGCCATTGCTTTCTCATGAAGCCGATTGTCCTGTACCCACGGTTATACTTTTATATGGTCCTCCCCTCATGTGGACCCACTTATAGCAGTTTAACAAAGTTCACTGACACCTAATTTTAGCACTAACATGTTATTTAAATTAGTAGACTCAGTTCTTCATTTATGACTGGAACCACGAGTGCTTTTCTGAAGCAATGAACTACGTATTGAAGAGAATTCTTACATATTATTGGCCCAAATCACTATGGAATCCCAGAATGCAACATGCAGCATGTTATTTGATGCACATATAAATCCTCTTCTGCTCTTGATTCGAGCCTGCAGCCTCAATCCAGCTCAAACTAGTCCAATACTTCTGGAACGTTCCATCATGAGCCCCATCACACCATTTTACCATTCCGTCATGTTTCGGTTGACCATGCGGCCCATGAGAATGGAGAAAGGTCACGGCATGGGAAGCGTAATTCAATTCAGTGGTGCGCTAACCACTCCAAATCCCTCCACAGACGTCGGCTGAACTCGGTAAAGTCATCAAGTGCAGCGTTTTATTCACTTAATTGAAGGTTTCGAATGCAAAGACGCAGAGCATAATCCCCCCCCCCCCCCCCCCCCAAACAAATGTTTTCAGTAATTCATTTAAATACATCACATACAAGCACAAAATGCAGTAGTTCCACAAATTGCTGCACAGACACCGACTTGCTCTACTTTAGATTCTGGTTTTCACCACTTTGTGTGGTTATATAACTGTTTCCAGAAACTCTGGGCTATCGACACAAGGAGCAGCTTCCAAACGCCTCTGAGGCTAGCCTCAAAAACACAAGATTTATGGCTCCGCTGTGATATTCGGGCAGAGTCAGCGCACATCTGAGGCTCTGTGCCACTTCAATTCACCCTCATAAAAGATACAAGAGCAAAGAACCAAATAACAAAATCAGGACAGTTTCAGAAACCACACCTCAGCTTTACAAAAACTCTGACTGCTAGGAAAAAATGTGTTATTTAATCCTGATTAAACCAAAATCAATTAGGATTTATAGATTATCAAGCAGCTATTTTAAATTTAAATGCTATAATGGACAAAACAATAGACATACGTGGTGGAGAACCAAGTATTGAAGGCATTCAATACTTTATTTATAACATAAAATTTATTCATAAAAGAACCATATAACAGAAGGTTTATAATGAAAAGCAGGGCAATAAATACAATGGGAAAGAATTTTTTTTTTTTTTAAATCATGGCACAAAAAACTAAGCAATAGCGAAAAGTTTTTGGTCGTCCAGTCAGCTAATCTTTAAAATGCTAACATTTGTAGCTTGTAAAATTTCCAGGCATTTGGAATTCTAAATGGAATGACTAAGGAAGGAATGTCTTCGGAAGGCTTTCAGTCCATAGCAGTCTGTAAGAGCGGGATTTCAATGGTGGATTAGCTTTAAAACTAGCGATACTGATTTTCTGTGATGCAAGGCCAAAATAAAACTCAAAAGACAAGGCATAGGGCATAAAACAAATAATCATACTGCAAAAACTAGGTAATTCTCTTTACAGTTCTCCATACTTCATAAAAAACACTTAAAAAATGATAAAAGATCAGTTTCACCATTGTTAATGTGGTCACATTAGCGATATTTCAGAGAAATTTTGCAGGCAAAAAAAGGTCCATTGTCTCTTGTCAATAGTGTAGCGATGTATAAGGCACCACGTAAACAGAACTCACTTTCAAACCAAGCAGCTTAAACATGAGTGAAATTTGCATGGGGAACTTTTTTGCCCTCAAGCAAAACTCAAGAGGACTCCAATTGGAATGACTGGATTTCACCCGCAAAATTTCACTTGAGCTACGGTAAATGTGACCGCACCTCTAGGATGGCAGATTGTAGATTATATCTCACCACTCACGATCATTTTACCCAAACACATGCGCTGGGAGGGGAAGGGTAACTGTGAGAAGCAAAAGGAATTGCAAAAAAAAACTTGCTCTGTTGATATACATGGTTGGTGTTAATACTGCTTTGACTAACAGCGCAGCAGAGTTCTCTAGTAGTCGATACCCTGGTCGTTGTAGTGCCCTCTGTACTCATCGTGGTATTCGCCCTGGTACTCCTCCTCCTGATATTCAGCCTGATAGTCACTATCGCTGATTTCTGAGCCATTCGTGCCTGTGCCCTGGCTGCCATTGGCGTGGATCATGGGCTCCGTGGGGGTGGCGCAATACTTGGGGTCGTAAACCTGCCGTCCCAACCCGTACACGCTCATGCCCTTCTGAGAGGCCACCTTATTGGTTCCCATTTGCAATGAGATAGTGGAGTTGTCAACTGGTTGCAGAGCTGCCTTCTGGTCATAGATGTCCCTCCTGGTGCCTGGGGCAGACATACCAGCCTGGAGAGAGATAGACACAAGAAAAACATGTCATTTTCGATAACTTGACCGATTTGTGTGCTATATTGTTGGTACAAGTCTATCTTTGGGAATACCTGGCTGGCTCCTTTATTGGTGCCCATTTGCAAGCTGATGGTGGTCTGGTCGTAAGGTTTCTCTGTCTGTGTCTTGGGGTCGTAAAGGTGTCTCCTGGTCCCATAGGCAGTCATACCTGCCTGGCTTGCGCATTTGTTGGTTCCCATCTAAAACAAAAGTCAGAAACACTTCAATAAGTGCTTAAAAAATCACCTGTAGATGATCCTAGATGGTCATTGTTACTCTCCAATCAACCTTACTCTTTATGAACTACTCCCAGAAGCAGCTGATACTGGTTGTTTAGCTGTTTGATTCTAGATTTGGTTTTGTAATTAGAGTTTTAGGTTTAAACGTCACAATGGGCGATCCTTGATCTATCACTATTGTGGCCTTTAGTAGCCGCCTAACCGGAGGTTATTCCAGTCGCTTTGGATAAAAGCATCAGCTGAATAAGTCATTCGTAATGCGCCTTCCCTTCATGCCCTGTCACAAATCAAATGAGGTAACACTGTGGTCAGGCTTCCTTTAAAAACAATGTATGATATTCATCCAGAAACATTAGGGGGGTTCCAGGAAAAGTGCCTATAACCTGAAGTCCGATGACACACTGGCCAGCCTTCATTTTCTCCTCATCAAAATGTCTCTGCTGCTTGTCTGCGTATTTCACGCCAATGTCGACATTTGTTTCCATGCCTTTGGTCTTTGCCTGTTGAAAAAGAAATAAACGTTTCATAGTTGCAAAATTTAAAATGTTAATAATATGTCTAAAATGCCAATTTCTGGGTTTTACAGAATATTCAACAAGACTAAAATTTAGCAGAATTGAAGGACTAGTAGACGTACCATACTGGCCAAAGCTAGAAGTGTGGTCTGAACTTGCGTCAAGTTCCCATTTTCGAAGAGGTCGTTGGCCTCAAAGATGTCGTTGGGCTTCAGCCCGTAGGCTAGGATGGCTTTGATGAAATTCCCAAGGTTCTCTAGCTGAGGGAACAATGGTAACAGAAAGGGTGTGTTTCTCAGTAAAATTATTGGTTACCGCATTTTAAGATAAAAGAGTTAGAGATGATTCAAAGACTGCATGAATGGGTCCAATTATTCTTACAGATTCTTTAGAGCTTTTATACTATAGGGTCTATCTGCAGTTGTTAGGAGCTTCTTCTTTGTGCGTCATGTTTTCTCAGCTGCCTTTCCTACTATTTGCCAATAATTTGATTTGAACACTGTATTGTAACTTAAGTCACTTTGGAAGAAAAGCACTTCTCACTTTTTTAAAGGGACTGATGTGGATGAAAACAAAGACCTCAGGAGTCTCTAAAACATTTACCTTATGCCAGTTTAACTGTGTATGGTTTATTTTCTTTATTGATCCAGGCTGAAGCTTGTTTATCAATCTGAAAAGAATAAAAACAGAATCATTTCAGTTAATTTCTTTTCCATATCCATCATATATATAAGCATCCTCTATAGGCACATTGAAGGTCAAGCGTGTAATTTCAGTGCTACAAGCATCACCAAATTGAATTAAGAAAATAATGATTGTTGCAAACAAGTTTTCTGCCATTGGTCAGTCAAACAGATAGTCCCACCCCTAAATTCATGTCATTGGTTGAGCCACTGTCATAACATCTGGCCGGCACGCTCAAAAAGCCATATCACCTGGTAGCCCAAGACTGGTTGCCCACTGAAGCTAAGCAGGGCTGAGCCTGGTTAGTACCTGGATGGGAGACCTCCTGAGAAAACCAGGTTGGTGTTAGTAAGGCCAGCAGGGGGCGCTCACCCTGTGGTCTGTGTGGGTCCTAACGCCCCAGTGTAGTGACGGGGACACTATACTGTCAAAGAGCACCGTCCTTCGGATGAGACGTAAAACCAAGGCCCTGACTCTCTGTGGTCAATAAAAATCCCATGGCACTTCTCGTAAAAGAGTAGGGGTGTAACCCCAGTGCCCTGGCCACATTCCACCCATTGGCCCTTACCAATCATAATCCCCATCCCATCCACTGAATTGGCTCTATCCCTCTCTCTCCTCTCCACCTGTAGCTGGTGTGTGGTAAGCGCACTGGCGCCGCTGTACTGTGGCTGCCGTCGCATCATCCAAGTGGATGCTGCACACTGGTGGTGGTTGAGGAGAGATCCCCTGATATGATTGTAAAGCACTTTGGGTGTACAGTAGTACATATGAAAGCGCTATATAAATGCCTCAATCAAACAAGCAATGTTATGATAGTCTTGAAGCCTGACAAAGCCGCTGTTTAGTAGGTTTAGCTGGTCAGACAAGTAGCCTCCCATTCTGACCAGCTGAAAAGTGCCCAAAACCACTCTAAAAACTGACCAACTCTGAGAAAATCCAAGACCAGCAAACTAGCGTATGTTGTTTAACAACTCACTCGCACAGTATGACGCCATCCTTAAGGCCTTTCTGAAAGCTGTCTCCGATCGGCATGCCAGTCACCTCCTCGATCCAGAAACGAAGCTCCTCCTCCTTCTGTAGGTCATATTTCTGTGCGATCTGAGGAGAAATAAGCCAATCAGTGATTTGGCCAATACACATCAGTCAGTTATGAATCAAACCGGCTCTGCGGGATCATAGTTATGTGTCCAGGATAATCTTACTTCAGGTTCTATAGTTATGCGTCAGCCTGCATGCTTATCTCAACTACTGTAATGTCAATACACTTTGCTGATACTCGCACACAACGTGTTTGACTTCAAAACACATGACACAGGACCAAAACAGCTGTTTGAAACATTAAAAAACGCCTCTTTGCCTTTTAAAAGCTGCATTAGAGCAAATGGAAAATCATCAAATGCAGCTTAATCAAATCAGATTGCCAATAAAACCTCTTTTCTGGCTTCCTTTGTATTTTTCCTTTATGAATAGAACCGTTTGCCTTTAAAGCATGTGATGCAACACCGTCATGCGATTCCAACAGCAACAGAGCATAACATCCCCACAAAGAGTCGCCGCATGAATCTATTCTGGCCGTTTCGCTCTTTCTCAGGACTTTTCTGGCTGTAAATAGCACCGTTGACCTGCTGACATTGAATAATGTACTCAGAACGGACAACTACGACTAGTAACAGAATAAACTAGATCTTTACAAAATGCCTGATTGTAATATGAGAGTTGTTTGCAAATGCAAAAGCATCCTATGGCATTTGCTAAGGTATTCGGAGGGGTTTTTGTGCATTGCTGTGGGGTTGCTAGATAATTGCTTACTCTCAAAAGAGCCCATCCTTGTTTGATATTCTGGTCATAAATATGGCCTCAGTTGTGCCTTTAATAGATGTTTAGTTGTAAATCCAGTAGGCGATAAAGTAAGTTTTAGAAAAGTAATAGTACACCTCTAATTAACAAGCTGCATGATTGGAGTATCAAAGTTTAATAGTAGGGTTTGGTAATTGGTTTATTGAAATAGCAAACCCCAAGTATAAGTAATAGTAAAAGTGAAGCATGCCTTTGCAAGCACTTTTAATTAATACAGACCCTCAAAGTATGTTTTTCTTCTTCATGAGTGCTAAACACTACTTCAGCTTCAAGTACAAATCTTCAAAAACAGATTACATGACTTTTATTCTGTTAATAAATAAAAGGGCATTAAATGCTTCAGTTTCCACACTTACAGCAAGATTAAACCCATTTAAAGCAGCTATTAATATACGTTCCAGGAAATGGCTTTTATCACAGAGACTCCATTTCAAGTTCAGTGTTCAGGGTCAGACTGTACAAAGACAAAGCTAAATGTGGCCATCAAAACTGATCATGAGAGAGAGGGACAAAGAGACATAAAGTACAGGGAAAAAGGGTGGAGAAGATATTCTCAGCAGTTGGCGTTGGACAGAGGCTCCTGGAGATCCTGGAGTCTCACTATACAGCCAAAACATGATAAGAGCTTTCCTCACGTCCTTCAAGAAGCAGTCTGCTATCTCAAACCTTATTTCCAGCACAAACACAGCCCTAAGCTCCTAACCCACAGAAACTCTTCCTTAGTCCTTTGTTAGCTTTTGTTAGTTAGCTTTTCCTTAGTTTAGCTTTTGTTGTAGGTTCTATGCTAATTTCAAGACCTTCATTTCCTTCTCAGAAGCGGAGGGAAACGTGCGGCAACAACAGCAATATTTTTTGGTCATGGTAATATTATGTTTTGGACAAACTGCAAAAAATTATTCTGTTTCTGTCAGGTAACATATGTGCTTCGTTTACACTTCTGTTCAAAAGTTTGCGGTTGGTAAGATTTTTTACTGTTTTTGAAAGCTTCTTATTCTCACCAAGATTACAATCATTTAAAATAATGTTTTTCTGTGTGAAAACATTTTAAAATGTCATTTATTCCTGTGATTCAAAGCTGCATTTTCAGCATCATTACTCCAGTCTTCAGTGTCACATGATCCTTCAGAAATCATTTATTATGCTAAGTTGCTAGTTAAGAAACATTTCTTATTATTATTAGGGATGCACCAAAATGAAAATTGTAAGCCGAAACCAAAACCGAAAATTCTGGATGCACTTGAAGGAAACCAGCTTTTTATAAATAATTTATTTCTTATTTTAAATTAGCTTTGTACAATTGTATTAATATTAGAGTTTTTAATGAAATTCAATCATTTTAATGATACTGAGTTTAAAAAATACAAGCCAATAAATAAGAAAGTAACACTCTAAAATTGGACAGAAAATGAATTAACAGATTTATTTTTTCCTACAAAGAAAACCATGATACATTTTTCAGGTTTTTTTGAAGAATAGAACAGCATTTATTCGTAATATATTTTTTTGTAACATTGTAAATATCTTTACTGTTGCTGAATAAAAGTATTTATTTCCTTCAAAATGTCTTACTGAACCCAATTATTTTTCAAGTAAACAATATTAACATGAACTTTAGACATTTTTTTAGACATATTAAAGGGACAAATCAGGTGGAAATAGCTTCTTAGGGAAACAATTTCACAGTTTATGTGGCACGTTCTTCGAACAAGTGCCATGAACGCACTATGGTATTATACAATTTAAACACTATGGTATTTGAATATGATACTAATTTAGAATCACGACATTATGAAAGAGTGAACAAATGTCTCAAAATCTGTTCAGAATCACCAAAGTGATTTCAGTATGATACAATAATGTTTCAGCTCTAGACTCTTACCTAATGCCAACAACTGTCTCATTTGTGCCTATTTTTATTTCTCCTGAGGGATTTTAAGATATAGCTTGGGGCCCATAAACTTCCATAGAAGGTCTCAGAGCAAGCTGAAGATCAATAAGACATCCTCCCACACTAAAGCCCAGCAGTCAAAATGTGAGACCACTAGGAAAAAATGGTGTGTGGGGTGTTGTGGCAGTTCACTTGTGCAATTTGAGGTCAGCCGAGATGACTTTTCTCCTATAATGACAGACAAAAAAGCTAAACCGACACAGTCTCTCATCTTTGAAGAACTGCACAACTTTTGGTATGCTTCAAATAGTTCAAAAGAGCACTGGATGAGTTCAGATGTAGTGGGAGACAAAGAACGTTATATCTCTGATATAATGAACCATTGACTGGGGTGATTTATAGTAGACATAAATCGGAAAATCAAAACTGACAAAAAAGGAGGGGAAAGAACAGAGTTCCACAGAGAGACTGAGGAAAGATTGGAGAACCATGTGCCTGTCTTGTCCTTCCAGTCCACTGGGAAACCAGCCAGTGGTAGAGAAAAAAAAGAGAGAGAAAATGTGGAAAAGTGACCCTTGATGGAGAAGTTGGAGGCATTTGCAGAAGAAGAACATTCTGGAAGGTTGTGGGCTGATCCCGCTAGAGTCCGACCTCTAGCTCTCCTCCCCCACTCATAATTCTGAGAGCTTACTGATGACAGCACAAAAACCGAGCAAACATCTGACTGAAAAAGGTCAGGGAGTGAAAGGGCTCTCAATGTGACGCGATCAATTCGACAAACAGCCCCTCAGAGATCGATAAAACAGTGATGACAACGGAGGAGAGGAGGGGTGACCTTTTCACCTTGAGTTTTTAGTCTAACAACACATACAAACTATAGTTTAGCAACAAGAGAAACACATCTACAATCCTCATACCCAATCCTATTTGTTTAAAAAAATAAGCATAGCTTCTATTATCAAAGTCAGTTTACGGAATGATTAAGAATTCTGCAAACTTTACTTTGCAAAAACAAACTTGTTGAACAAAAGAACGCACTCACTTAACCTTCTTCTCTGACTAATATTGAGTATTGTGCTGAAATCAATCATACATGCCCATTTATTTGCATTTGAGCAACTAGTTCAGCCAGCATTAGGCAATATTTAACCATGCGCTCTGGAAATATCAGAGCGGAACAGACAACATAGAATCATTTGCTCTACTATACCTGCGAATTCAACTGAAAAATAACTGTTTAAATCACAAAATGCCAGACAACATTCATCCTGAAATCACATTTTGTGTTGAACATGTGTGGAATATTCACATTTAGCAATGCAGGGTGGCATAGCTAGATGATAGCTGAGTGGTTGCCAGGTTTGCGTAACAAAAGCAGCCCAATTGCTATTCAAAACCAGCCACGGGAAAACCACGGGATTGGCAAGATTGGTGATAGATTGTGCATTGGTAGGTGGTTGCTAGGGTGTTCTGAGGGGTTGATAAGTGGTTACTTACTGGCTTCAATCAAAAGAGCCCACCCTAACAAGATTGTTTTTATATTTTATGAAGAAAATGTGTGTAATATACCGCAATTCTAGTGCATTGCTAGTAGGTAATTGCTAGGGCGCTCTGATTGCAAGGTGATTGCTAGAGTCGAGTGTAGCGCAGCACGATTAATCCTTAAAAGATTGCAATCTCGATTCAAACACCCACGCAACCTTATTCCTAAATGACAACGATTCGCTTGTGTCTATTAAACATTTGACAAAATCCCACCAGAACATTCAGATCTGCGTTGGCGCTGGCGCTGAGCCAGAGAGAGCAGTTGTCATGTATAGGTATGAAACAGCTTCACAAACAGACTTTTCAACCACATGTTTATTTCTGTTACAAATATTCATATCACAGAAGTACTGGGATAAACGTTTTTACTGATGTCTACGGTAGCGAACAAAATAGAGTAAATAACCTTTTGAAAGTAACTTGGCGCTTCATTGTATCCATTACAAATGACTGTTAAAAATTAAATTGCCATTGAATCATTCACTCAAGAGATTAGTTAAAAAACGCAGATTCATTCAGTAATGAAACAAGTGAAGACTTTATGTGTGAGAGTCATTGAATCATTCATTCAAACAGATTTAAAAAAAAAACATTCATTTAAAATTAAATTAATTTAAATAGACTGCAGCAATTAACATTTTGCCAGAACTTCCAGTAGATAACATGTTTTTTTTTTTTTTTTTGTTAAGTCTGTTCAGAATTGCGGTAAAATCATGATCTCTGTTTGAAACAAAAAATCATGATTCTCAATTGATCCAGAATCATGCAGCTCTAGAGTGTTTGGATTGGTTGCTCGCGTATTGCTAGG